AAATACTTTACAAACACATTGTCGACGCCATAGAATTCTTGATAAATAATCGATAATCGATTGGTTAATAATTATTGCGCTGAATTCGTCGTCCAGGAAGAATGGACGTATTTATAAAGGAGATAAAGCTCAGAAGTGAAAAAATCACGAAACTGGACTTGGGTAGTTATCGATCCCATTCAATATTAGAGAAGGTGTGAAATGCGAAGTAGGTGTCAGACTTTGCGAATCGCGCGATTAGCTAGCGATTGTTCATTGTTCACAAAGTCTGACAGTCAGATTTTTCTAATAGAATACAATCCTAATTTTACTGCATTTTTGCGTGCTTATTCTGCGAGCCAAGCTTATGAGAGGAAAGATCGAAAGGAAGAACCGTTTTTGAAATGCATGCAGATATTGTCATATTAAGCACACTGCAGGTTGGTGACGAAGCCGGCCGCCAACATCTTACGGGGGAATTTTCGGGTCACAACTTGGAGAACTGGCGGTGTCCCGGAAATTTCCTGGCTCCGTCACTAAGTCGCACTGCGCCAAACATTATTATTATTGCCTTTTAAGTACAATGAAAAGCTTTTAACCTGCGATTATTTGGCCTAAAGCATCTTAATACACGTACTATCGCTCGCTGCACGAGTTTCCTGCTAGAGGACGAGCTGCACGCTTGTGGAAGCGATTGTGAACATCTAAACATTCGCCTTGACCCAGCAATATTACACCTCCTAGAAAGCTCCTAGGATTATTAGGAATAGAAACTGGGTCGAAATATTCCGTGATCAGTCGGAATACGGAAATCAGAATTTAAAGGCAGTGAACGCGATCGCTGGGAGGCGGAGCTGAGGTTGAGGGTTGTCAGGTGAAAGAACTCTGGAAGACAGTGCGACCACTGGGTCTCCTTACAACACTGACCACTAAGATTTATGAACAGGCTCCGCCTCTACGCCATAGCACTCGCTGCCTTTAATTAGAGGTGAACTCCTCCCTACCCACAACATACATGTGGAACGATGGGGGACTTGAAGTGAAGGCAAAGTAACATTCAACAAACCAGTAAAATTTGAACAATAAATACAAATCAAAGTTGATCAGTGAGGCGAGAATGGCAAGAATCGAGCCGTGGTCGTCTCTTGCAGGGCATCCATAGACTGTTAGACAACCTCTGCTACCCAATTACTCTCACTCGAGAAGTCGGTTCCTATGACACGAATCGACAAAGTGCACGATTTGGTCACAGGTGAACCCAGGTGCGAACGTCTGCAAAAATCGGCAGTTCTTCCGAGCATAGACGGAGATGTCGGTGATTCCGAACGTAGCAGCCAAACGACGCATTTTCGAGCATGTACGTGGCGTCGATTCCTGAATATAACGCGTGATTGCAATTAGACAAACCGGGAACACCTCACAATGCGCAACCCCCGGTCCGTGAACACACCATTCTTGAAGAACTGAGGACCGCCAGTGGATAGCCTTTGCACCCGAATATTACTAATTCTATTTATATTCTATTCCTAGTTCTCGTGATAGTACGACTCTGCGATTGAACCTCGCAGCAGTTATAGTAACGATTTATTAGATTGACAGTACACGAGTTGAGATTCCGATAGCTAACGTTTCGGCGGTTTCGCCTTCTTCGGAGCAAAAGTGGAAACCATTTCATGATTTATCCGACCAAGTGTCTCGCTACCCTACGAGAGCTTCGAGACCAGCTAAGACATCACATAATTAATAGGCAGATAAAGTACCGTACCTCCCTAGATCAGCGGAATCAGCTCACAGGAACGACAGTATAGCGGATATCAGACTAATCAGAGTTCAGGGTTCCGGCTGGAAGGCTAACCTTATATAGGGGGTTATAGTTCCCGCGTTATTGAGCACACATTCTCTCCTGTGGTTCATTTTTGGATTCCTGATCCGGATCCAAAATATGCCTCCAGGGTTTTGCGCAATCCTGTGAGCTGATTCCGCTGATCTAGGAGGGTGAAGTACTTTATTTACGTCTTAGTTATGTGCCTGTCTTAGCTGGTCTCAAAACTTTCCCTAGGGAAGGCGGACACTTGGTCCGATAAATCATAAAATAGTTTCCATCTTCTTGCTCCGAAGAAGGCAAAATCGCCGCAGCATTAGCCATCGGAATCATACTGTCAACCTCGTGTACTGTTAAGTCAAATAAACCTCTTACTATTCTATTCTATTTCTTTTCTTCTTACTCGTTTCTTCTCCCTACACGTTTAGTCTCGCCAGTCGCATGTCCGCTGTCCTAGTTCTATTTCTGTGAGGCTCATATTTGCTCAGACTTGGCTTGAAGGGTTGGTGCTGTGTAGCTGGGGGAACGGGAATTGTGATGCAATAGTTGTAGCGAGAAAGGAATCCCAGGCCATCGCATAAGAAGTCTCGTGAATTCTGGGAAATGCCCGCAGTCGACGCCCTTTCACCCGATTTTTTTCTCAAGCATTCAGTAGATTGAGTGGCGCGAAAACATCTGTGGCCACAGAAAGAAAGATTTTCGGTTAAGGATTGAGCTCGTGAAACTGAATAAAGCGTCTCCCATGATAGGACGTTAGCATCGAGAGCATGTTACATGGCTTTCGCGGTGTCGCCTACCCCCGTCGCCGCTAATAGTCTAATCGCTGGGTCGCATTTTCTTCGCTCGCCTGCAGCTACCTCTAGTACTCTGGGCCAGTGTGCCTTACGGTGTCGCCATTTCCTGCTAGTGGTTGTAGTCGCGTCTGATGACCACTCTAAAGCCGCTAAAGTCAATGAAAACACCAAGAAAACGCTTGCTCAATCGAACACAACTCATGGCAAAATGTCTTTTCATATGTAGATGTAATATGTTGGCAAGATTTCCAAAATATAAGCTACATAAAAATCATAAAAAACGTGTCCCCCCGAGACCGAGTGTTAACAAATGCGTGCCTATGTATTATTTCTTCAGAATAAGAAAACGCTAAAAGCAATGCGACTCACCTCCATGTGTGTGCTATTCTGAGGAGAAGCTGTCGTTGACAACAGCGGTTGAGCTGCTGTAGGTGGCGGTGGTAATGGCGCTGGCGATGGCGGCAACCACGTCTGTTGATTCGCCGACGGAAGCGCAATCCTATCCATTTTTCGCGGCTGGAAAGCGTTCATTTCGGTATTATACCTAACGAGCTAATAGTTCAAGGTTATTTCATACATCTGGCCTTATGAGGACGAGGGCTGGTATGACACCATAATTGCTTTGCCCTGTCTTTCCCATTATCCCATGTGTTTACGCTCATGTATCGTTGCATTTACAGGGGATATTTAGTATAGAAAACTGTCTTCTGAGAGCTTATATCACTACAATTTAATGCAAAATACGTGCAATCAATCGACTGTGCATGCAAAGTGAAAAGCGCATGCATGGCGCAATATCAGATTAGGTAAGAAATGCGATTAGTAGGATTTTTGAAGTCTACGACTAAGGGCGAACTAAACGGCATCGCCCAGGCTGTCCTTCATGGCTGAACCTTCGCTAATCTTATCGAGCTCAGTGAATTCAAGCCTTTACTAGAGTGGACTGTTGAGAAAGACCTCTGCGAAAGTGAACTAACGTAAGGGCTAAAATTCGTGAAATTGATTAAATTAACTGCGAGTAGGCGGTGAAAACTGGTGGTTTCGATTTTAACGCCATGGTAAAGGAAATTACCCTTTCCGTTACTGGATCCCTCGCCATCATCAAAAGTCTATCGTTGTCGCGCTTCACCGAGATATGAGGGTACCTGAAGAATACAATTCTGAACATTTGCATCTGAATTTCATATGGAAAGAGGTACGAGTCATAGAGTGATGATAAGGTTGACATACAATCGTGTCTGCAATTGCGAGAAATGACAAAGATATGGCTTATCAGTAGACAGCTAGAGAAAAGTAAAAAATGTAAATAACAAGCAGCAGGCCTCACCTTTGTTTTAAGGAACGGTCGCCGTGGAGGAAAACTTCTCATCAGCACTCGGGGATATGCTGAACAATTTCTTTCTATTCAGGTTGCAATTTTTGGAAGTTATTATTATTTTTCCTATCCACATTTACGCATCGATCTACAAAATTCTTCAGTGCAGGAGGGAAAACCTACGACGTGCTCTTCGACGCAAATTCATTCGATAGTAAGGTGCATAGTCAGCGAAGTCTCGCGAGTAGTCGTCGTCGTAATCCTTAATTGATGAATATAACAAAATTACTTTTGAATTCTTTGTTATTATGTATAATATATAATAATAGTGAATATAATATAAAACCAATTAAAAATAAAAAAATTTATTCCAAATCAAAAATAGAACTCTGCTAGAGCATTCAGCCCGCGGTCACTGCCAATACCTCGCCGTCTCATCATGTTATGTGTGTGAGCACCGATAAGGTGCGGTAAATACACCACTGGAAGCCGAGCTAAGGTGGAACAGTTTGGTAAAAGGTGGCTCAAGGGCCCAGAAAGCGAGGGATGCAGGTTCAAATCCGTCCGGGCAGGGAGGAACTTTCCTGTGCTTCTCTGTCCACTAAATCAACCAATCAATCTCGTTGCGCTCGAAGGGAAGCCTTGGCTGATCTCGCCGCGTCATTCTCAAGCACTATGAGGTTCTCATCTTTTTTTCAGGTGAGTACGAATCAAAATTTCTACTTTTTGAAAAGAGATTTGAAAATTTTGTTCAGGGTTGCCTTTCAGGCATATGTAAGGAGTTGACGATTGCTGTCATCATTTGTTGATGGTTCTACCTTAGCGACCAACACAAAATATCAATTTTCAGAAATAGTGGGATTTCATTGGCATATGGGAGAGCTTCAGGCTTCAGGGATCGAGAAGTACCAGCGGCAGTTGGCGTTTTCTAACACCTTACTTGCCAGATATTTTGTTGAATAAATTGAACTGTGGAAATTGATTCACAAGAATGCTGGGTCGTGAAAAAACTTTCGACCGAGACTCGAACCCGCACCACTTGCTTTTGCGGCAGAGGGCTCCAAGTTACGCGATCCGAGGCAATCATTTATTATTACCAACTCAGTTTTTAATAATGGTGTAGTATTTATCATTTTTAGCCTGTCGCAGTAACCTGGAGCGGCTTCTGCCGCTAAAGCAAGAGATGCAGGGTTCGGACCCCGCTGGGTCGAAGGTTTTGTCTAACACGATTTGAAACGTGTGCAATCGCAAGAGCGATCTGGCCGGTGAAACACAGCATTAGTAAACAAAAACAAAGTGAAGAAATTGAATTTAGCATTCAGTTTTACAGCGAATTCCCCGGAGTGTTCAATGGTGGAATCTTCAAGTCAGAGACTGTTTTCCACATGGTTTTGCTCACAATTTAGAGCTAGGACCCTCTCTCAAATATGTGGGCAAACAAAATACAGTTAGCTGGACTTATTTATTTTATTCGTCAATTTTATTGGTACGTTTACCCAAGAAAAATTCCAAGGACGAGCTTCGTCACAACAGCAGTAACGAATTATTAGTATATCAAATTAGCCGCTGTGGGAGTAAACAATGATAATAAATAAATGATAACAAATAATGATAATGATAAAAACAATAATAAAAAATGAAAGTAGTGAAGAAATATTAAATAAATAGGGTAAATAAGGTCAATAAAAAGCAAAAATAAACCAACGTTATCATAATCGTCTCTTGTCTTCACATAACGAGAAGCTTCGTGTCGTCTGAAAATGAGAAATTTTTGAAGAGTTCTATCACACTTTTTCCACCAAGATCTCTGATTATTAGAGAGGTTTGTATGCGTAGCACATCAGCGGATAGCAAACTCTAAACCATAAGGTACATAGTCAACTAGTTTGAATTATGGACTGATGGAGGAAACGTAACCGATTTAGGTTAAGCTTTTCTTGGTGACAAGTGAACGGATTACCATTTCAGGTCACCTTTAAGCTGAACCTATTTTTGTTCTGGATGTAATAGAGCAAAACATTCACTCGGCGGATTGCAAATTACTAGGTCGAATTTTTACAGAGACATGGCGGGATTGGTGACAGCCACCAGGGGTTTCACTATCTCTGAGTTTTATTCGGCACAGATTTCTCTTCGACAATGTTTCTTATTCGGTGGACAAAATTGCCGCTCAAAAAACCAATCGTGTTGTTATTAAAAAAAGTGCCACAGGTCAAGCGACTTGAATTCCTATTCCTGTAGATTCTTGGGGTATTTTCACTTCGAAGCCATTCCATTTCAGTGCGTGTAGCTACTAATTGCGGAAAAGGACTAACACACCACACGCACTTTGACCCCTATGAATTATTCTATGAAGCAACTTACCAGCTGCCTATTCAAAAAAAGATCGGCTACAATAAGTTTGGTCACGTCAATGATTTGAGTAGAATGCTTAAGATAATCTCCACGGAAAAAGAGTCCCTTATTACCACAGAAAACGATACCTTAAAGGAATCTTCCACGGAAAGAGTGATCATTTTGTCTTGTGTGTAGGATTAGTATATCGAAACTAACACTTATGTTCCGTTCTCTTTTTGCTATGCTCATGAGGCTAGGGGCCTAAGGGGTATCGTTTTTCTTAGTGCAATGGATGGCGGAGCTTTTCGCGGGATTCCTTGTAAGATTTAGCAGTGAATAGATAGCCTTTTCCATAGTAGATATATTTTTCTGTGTTCCACTTCGAAATTATCGTTTCATCTGCCTCCACCGAATAAAAAAGGCTCTAAACAATAACGAGAAAATTCCCATTCACGCTGATCGAGCTTGGTGGAGCGCTCGGCATTGATGATGATCGATCCATTTTGCCTTCATCGGAAAGGGAAGTAAGCATGCTCATTGGAATGGCTGAAAGGTGAGTGATTAGTCTGGTAACAAAATGGGACAGTCTACTAAATATGATGAAAGATTGTCGTGTGAAAGCCTAAGCAACGGAAATTTCGCAGCGAATTTGAGAAAAGGATAACTTAGAAAGGATACTCCAATATATGCAAACTTACAGTGATCGGCTGTGGATACCGGATTGATTTTACACTGGGGCGCTTGTAGTTGCAGCTGGCGATGTGCCTGAATTCACTTTTTATCATTGAGAACGAACCAAAAATATGAAAATTCCTGAGTATGATTTTCAAGTAGTAAACTAACAATAGAAAATGAAGAGGTTTAGAGGGGAATCCTTCACAAAATAGCCAGAGGACCGGTAAGTAATTGTCTTTTATCACAAAAAAAACAGAATGTCCCTGACGTACAAAAAGAATCCTCACATTCAATTTGGTATAATGGTACAACAGTACTGCGTAGCATGAGTTAAATGCTTCGTGAGAATGTTCCAGGCAACCTCACTCGAGTTCAAAATCTTACCATCATCTTCTGTCAGGTGAGCGCTTATCGTCGTCGGTGAGCTGCATCTCTGGGAAGAATTTTCGCATAATGACGTCATCCGATGATTCATCGCCAGATAACTCGATGAATTCGGTGGTCGTCAATCTGGGCAAGGACGTCGTTGTCGATGGCGTGCTCGTTGTTGACGGCGTGGCCGTTGTTGGCGAAGGGGGTGTACTGCTGGGGAAGACTCGCTAAATTGCCGTTTGAGTTCGAACGAATTTGAACATGCAGTCTCAATGAGGTTGAAATGACGCCATTCATTATTAGGTCGTCGCTGATTTTTGGCAGACTGGGAAACTGCTTAAAAAAAGGTACATTAAACCCGGGCTGATGCGCTGCTGGACGACGACAAAGCAATATATCGATCCTAATCTTTCTACCCTCAGCCGTTTCTATCTGTTTTCTGCAAAAGAGCTACAGGGCATTCTGAGAGATCCACCAACGAAGCTTCGCCACTGTCTGGACTTCAAATTGAGCTTTTGCGTGACTCCAACAGGAGGTCAGCCGCAGCGTCTGCTCCCGTCCTGCTCCAAGTCCTCGAGAGTGAGCAGGTTATTCACGCCAACCTTATCAGCTGACATAAGATCCTCGGCGATCTTCGACATCAGCGCACAAAATAATGGCCCACTCTCAGGTTTTGGGCCCGACTCACTGTACTTCTTCTCAATATTGCGCTCCTCAGCACACAGCTTACTTGCGTCTTGCTACGCCAATCGCATTGCGCTCTCACTTGAACAGCGGCATGAGTTTTTTTTCCAGGATCCAGATCGGAAATCGATCCCATACGAAAAAATGTGGTAGTAATTGCCATTAGCTCAACTTACTAAGGTCGGTGTCTTTGCAGTGGAATGATTGGGTGGTTGGAATAGGACTGCATGGGATAAAGAACAAAAGAGAGAAGACGAAATCGCAGGCGCTCGGTTAAGGTGTTACTACACATTAGCTAAGGTTGTGCTATGCAATGACACAGACTAAGCGCGGACAGAGGTTGAGTTTTAGGCAACACGAGAACGCAGCGATGGCGAGGGCGCCAAAACAACCTCGAGACCGGTAAGTAAGTGGCTAAAAACTGCTAGTTACCATGTGACCATGAGCTCGTGGTAACTTGGTCATGGCTTTCCATCCATGTCTCCCTAAAAGATGCGTAGAGCACCTCTGGAACCCCTCCGAAGATTCCCCGTCGGAATGGTCGAAGTGAGTTCGAACTTACTTGGAAGTTGGGGTGATGACATCACGTGCTAGTAAGAGGATTAGCAGGGTGGTCATTTATAAACTAACAGCGATGGCGGCAGAGGAAAAGGAAATAGTGCGCGCGCGGTGGAGGGCGCAAACATGCTGCCACTTCATCTCTAAAAAGTCTCTTTTTAGAGATGGCCATCTCCAAACAGCCAGGCTGTGTGGGTCAACGCAGTAAGTTGAAAAGGGAAAGGGAAGCAACTTGCATTGATCCGTCAATGGTGTAGCGCCTGCGGTCCACGTTTGTGTTGAGCCGGCCACGGGATCGATACTACTAGATGTCAAAATCTTTGCAACTTTTGTGGGTTATTGCCTTTCCTCTAGAATTCTTTCACCGTCAATAAGAAGGGCTCCATAGTGCAGTGGTAGCGATGCCGCTCATGGGACGATGCACCGAAGGTTCAAACCCGTGTGTGACGCGACTTTTGCAAGCAACGTGGTGGATGCTCACCACTTCGCCTATGGCAAACCGCCATTGGATCAATGGGGACGTTCCACGCTGCCGCTGGCAAGCTTGCTGGATCAGCACCGCTTGGAGACTAAGACTTGCAAGCAACATCCATTGCATACCTTTCATCAACATTCTCTTCCAGTGTTGTGGTCGAGTGATCCCTGGTGCAGTGGCAAAAAACCAGCCTATGAGCCCTACCATCCAGGGCTCAATTCCGAGAGAGTTGCAAGTTTTGCAGGTCGGGTGGCGAGGCTCGCGGTTTCAACGAGGGTCATGTCCATGTTTCCACGTTCTCTACTCCTCGCCAATGGATGTAAATCACCACATTTGACTGCCAGTCTAGGGCACTTTACTACCGTCCCTGGTTAACGAAAAAAGTGGCAGCTGCAGCAGCTTGCTTTGCAAGGCCCTAGCGCCCCTTCCATGTGCTTCCTGAGCACAAGCATCCCACATCTGCAACTGTCCTCCAAGGGTCTATTCTAGCGACCGAAGGGGATTGTTCACCTAACTTCTGCCGGGAATTGAATGCTCTTCAGGGCTCCTGTTAGTCTAACCTAGATAGAGCTCTGATAAATTCCACCTGCGCCTTGGTTCTTCAAGGGTTCAATCTTGCACTCATGGTGAGCCTTTTCTAGTTAGAGCGATCTATAGGTTGGCAGAATTAATGCAACATCGCTCATGGCCAATGTTGAAAATTTGGAAAAGCCGCTTACCTTCATTCCAGTGCCGTCCTCGTCGGGTACTGGTCGTCTAGTGCGACCGCTCTTCCTCTTCTTTGTTTTCAGCTTTCTCCTTATCACCGTCACTTTAGCTCCGTTTGTGGGCTTTATAACAGCCACCTTGATTAATTTGAGCGGCTTAATAATGGGTACACCTTTTGCCTTTGGCCTGGATCTTTCATGCTGAAAAACATATCGATCAGCCGTGATGCTTCTTGATGATAAGTAACATTATTTTGAGAATGCGCAGAAAAAAAATTGAGAAAAAACTGCAAAAGGAACTGAAAAAAGAGCACGGGAGATCAACCCTAGTAATTCACTAGTTGGCTTCTGTCTAATCGCACATGAGAAAAAGACAGACTAATGCTTTGCTCTTCCCCGGGGAACGGTCAACAGAATCGTCCGGTCGTCGCGCTGCCGTGTGCGCCACTTGCGCGGCGTCGCGACGCGGCACTTTTCCGAAGAGGCGGGATTTTTGAATTTGACGGTTGGAGCAGTTGATTGAAGTTGAATATTAAAGGACGGGCCTGCTTGGCGTCCCTGTAACATTCAAATTCAAATGACGCTCACAGAAACTCGTCCACTGCAGTTGCGACGTCGCGGCCACGACCAGTAGCGCGGGGATCCAGACGATTCTGTTGACATACACCCCTCCCCCAGTTCTATAAGTTTGGGTCCATCTTTTTAGTCAATCTAGCTATTTCTTTGGTTTGATCTGAATCTTATTTTTTCAATTTTTTCGCTAGCAGACTTTCGCCAAAGAGCCCTCACCATATTTTCGACGTTATGAAATTGGCGTCCACTCCGTGGCGTTTCCACGATTCGACTCGTAATGGGCGCAATAGTCGTGTAATGCTCTTCACCTTCTTCGATGACATTACCGTGTTCGTCCACATATTCTTCTATACATCGATACCTGAATCAGGATTGGTTACTGTACTCATATTCAGGGAAAAATTACTGCAGAAAATTAACAGATATTGAAGTGAAAGACTTTTTGAATGCTATACTTTGATAAGTTGAACTCATTACATTGAATCAGAGAAGCATCCATTCTTTCTAGACTGTAAATAATAAGGAATAAAACAAACGAACAAAATTGAAAATAACTCAATATAACAATCAATAAATAATCAAATAAACAAAGAAGAATTCGGTTATTGTAAACAGACAAAAAGAAGATAAATTTTACAACGGCAAAAGCAAGTCCTGAATTCGATAAGCTCGTCTTCCGGCTGGCTAAGGAAGTTACTCTTCTGGGTTCTGGGTGGCGAAAATATGCTACTTTCGAACATATTTATATTATTATTACATTATTGAACTATTTTTGTATTACTTATTTTCAGTGGAATTCCTTTAGGGTATCAGTGGGAAAAGAGGCCTGTTTAGCAGCCGAGATGAAAGCGAGTTTTTGCGTCGCCATGATTGTGATTCAGGGCCCACACTCACCGTACGCTACCACTTTTTTGCAGGGGGACCGAGTCGTTGGCAGTCACCATCAGTAAGTTGGGTAAAGTTGCAAACCTCGTGGTAACACTGGAGCGTTCAATACCGATTTTGACCACGGTATCGTCGCTGTTTGAGCAACTGGTTTCCACTCCTAAAATTCGAACTAGAACACGGGTCTCTTGAAGCTCCTTTGTTGACCACAACCGCAGCCGGACTATGGGACTGCGCCACGCATCTATTCAACTCAGATCTGTGTTAGAATAAGAGCATATGAATGCGCTTGTGATATATACTGCCTTGGAAGAGACGTCCGTCGTAGGAGCAATTCCTTCGGTCCCCAAACAAGTCTGGTACCAAACAACTGATCACAGGGCGAAGTGGAAGGGATTCCCAATGGGCGTGATCCAAAGTGCCTGGCAGGAGGCACAACTTGTTACCTTCTTCGGCTTCTCGGAAATAAAAAGAAAATATATAGAAGATGCATATCATGGTAATCCAAGCTGATATCCCGTTTTACTTGGTAGCGCCTTGCAAACTATCCACATCCCAAATCCTTCTCCATTC